GGTAGTCAAAATATTCCAAACTATGGTAATACCTTTTTTTTTTTTTGGCCACTACCAGGGTAGTAATACTATAGTTAATACTAATACTTTACAGTTCTGTGGTAATACATTACAGTACCCTGGTATATAAATATGGTAATCAAACAATGAAATATATCAAAGTACTGTCTGAGACTGTCTTTAGAAAAGTGTTGGCAGACATTTTCTTATCAAATTAATTTACACGGATAACATGAAAAAGATTAGAATTAAATAATTTTATTCATGAAGAGACTAAAAGCCATGAATATTTTGTATTAAATTGAGATGAGCAGGGTTACCTTTCTCTCAGCTGTTGCCAAGCAACAGGTGACACAGAGTGCCAGCAGTGACGTCTCCATTAAACAATATCTGATGCAGTAATGATTATGACCTTTTACTAAACACTCGTTATGTGTCTCTCTCTCGGTGTGTGTGTGTGTGTGTGTGTGTGTGTGTGTCTGTGTCCACAGAGGCAGCAGGTAGTGATGACAGAGGTCTGGGCGAAAGCAAATCCCAAAATTCATTTCTCTGTGATGCACCCTGGGTGGGCCGACACACCAGGTCTTACTCATTTTAATAAGTCAACAAGCAAAATAATGTGCTAATTGTTTACTGGAAGCATGGTTATGCCAGTTTGGCATAATGATTCTGTTTACTTACAGTTTTAAGTTTAATTTTTTTTGTCCATAATTATTGATTTGAAGCCTTTTAGCTGTAAAAGGGCAACTCTAGATTTGTTTGCAGTTTTATTTTAGTTTCATTTAGATACTATTATATAATTAACTTATCCATGTAGATTTCATTAACAGTTTTTATTTATGTTTATTATATTTTAAACCTAAAGTTAGTTGTTTTTATTATTATTATTATTTTAAATATGTCTACATAGTTTTTTAAAAGTGATTTTTATTTCAGTTTTAGTTTTAGTTATTGTAGTACATCAACTTAAACTAAATGAAAATGAGAAATTTTGCCTCGGCAACTAAAA